CACACTGGTGGCTCATTGCACCATTCTCTGATGTTATCTGTGCTCAGTGAGTGTGGAGAGCTACTGAGGGCTCCTCACTGGTCCTCCATTCTCAAGGTGTGTATGGCCTCCTAAGCCATGGACTGCTCCCATCACCTTAGACTCGCCAGAAATACTCACTTCTAACTGGACTCATTTCACGTGGGATTGTTATTTTATAAAAACAATAAATGACTGAACTTACGGCATTGGCGTCAACTATAGTAATATTGATTGTATTACGGCACTTTTGCTACTTTGGCAAGTTTTACTGAATAATAAACAGGCCATTGTCAGCCTACACAGAGCCTTTCTATGAATTCAAAAGAGGTGAATCTTCCTCATATGTGAATTAAACACAAGCTTGCCTTCAGCCTCCTTCACCCTCTCTACTAGATACACTTTTACACGGCTCAACCTACGTAACTGTATGCAGTGACACACACGTAGGGAAAAGCCCAAAGGAAGATGTGTGGCGCCTACCACCCCGACCAGCAGGGAAGAAAGACTTGCACACCAGTTCCTTCCAGCAGCAGTTTACTCAGGAATTGCTAGTTACATGGTGCTTGAAGGTGTGCCCCCAAGCCAGCCCAGGAGCGAAGCTTTATACCCTGCATAGGACTGCCCATGAGCCCATACCACATCTCGCACTGTGATTGGTCAAGGACCCATGACACAAGATCAGGCCACCAGGAAGTACCGCCCCAGGACCAAACAAGGCTTGTTTACTCCAAGTCAGCAAAGGCTAGCCGGCACCATCTTTAAGGCGTGGCAGCAGTTCTCCACAGGAAGAGGCAAAGACTGGCACCCTGCAGGTGAAGAAACAGATCGATGATCATAAGTGGACAGACAAAACAACTGTGTGGTACCTGCCAAAACCTAATTGAATTCCCTTGACTTTTCCCTCCCTCCTCAACCATTTAAAGCTTACTGGAGAAAAGCCATTTAGTCATTAATGTGAGGTTTAAGAACTGAAATAGGGAATCTTTATCACTGACATTTCCAATTTCTTTATAAGTGAGAAGGGGAGTCTATAGTAACTGGGCTTCTTCATCTTGGAAGAGGGCCATGGATATTCCCAGTGTCAAGAATGAATGTTAGATCTTTGGCCATGCTTTGGAAGATGGAGAAGATGAGATGCTTCCACTAGATAAATGCTGGGTTTACCTTGTCTCTGATATTTGTTGGTACCAATTGGAGCCTCAGAAATCACTAAGATAGATTCCTTTCTTCTTCTACAGTAACACCTGAACCCCTGATAATGTGTGCAGTTGGGTGATGGAATGCCAGGGTTTGTCACTCATATGACAGCCCAACACGTTTGTACATTTGTTTCTCTCCAGGTTAATTTCTAGGATAAGCTAGCTGTCTATTCTCAAAGTTTGTTACAAGAGAAAGTAGCCCTTAAAGATGCACTGAGAGCAGCGTGGGGAGAGGTCATACAACTATCAGAATCAAATGTCATCGATTTCCCAGAGGTTCAAAAACACGTAATCTTCTCAACAGTGCTTAACTTTATTTAACATAGCTTTCAAAAGGCTTCAACCATGGAATCCTGTTTTGTACAGCAGTGTCTTTTTCCTGAAGACCTACCACTCCTCTAGACAAGCTTTTAATAACTCTGAAGAGGTATAAACTGTGAACTGAGAACCCTGGAGTTTTAATTCCGGTGGTAAAACTTGCTTTGTATCTGTGCACAGTGGATTTGTATTTTATTTCAGTTCTGTTTATCTCCTGCATGTTGTCAGAGTACTATTCTGAAAGCTGAATTATAATATACATCATTCCTAGTGAAGAGCCTAGCTGCTCCAGGCATGAATAGTGACAGTAAATATCATGGCTGCAAAAAGCAATGTCTATAAATAATAATCTAATAACAATAACAAAAAATAAATAGATGCTAGTAAAAAACCACTGTGGAAAACTATCTACTCACCAAAGTTGAATGTTTATGCTTCCTGACACTTGGCTGACTCTCAAGTGTCACATATATTATACATGTGACTTGTGTGTGTGTGTGTGTGTGTGTGTGTGTGTGTGTTATAGGTTACATCTAAAAACAGGTATCAACACTGCATACATACTTCCCCCAAAGTATCACAATGTTCATCATAACACCAGTTCCAGAAATACTTGAAACCCCTGTGTGTCCATTATAAAAGAATAGGAATAATTTGCAGTATTTCACAATTTAACTTATTTACAAATTTGAGGAATGGTTCAGCAATTAGAAAAACGATACAGAACTGCATGCAACAATATGGAAGGTGTTTGTACAGCCAACCAGAAAGAGAACACACCATGCCTTCGTGTATGCAAATTACAAAAAAACAGGACCGACAATGTCTCCGTGTTGTTGGTGAATTCCAAGCTTATCTTGGAGAGGGATGGCATGAAACAGAAGAGGCAGGCCTACAAGAGTTTCTGAGACTCCTGAAAAGGAGCATAGGTGTGGACAATAGGGAAACCTCATCCAGCTGTATGCACGTTCTTTTCTGCATGTGTATTCTTTGAAAAGAATGTTTAGACAGAACAACAAACAGTGGGTGCTGTCTTTTTGTGAAAGGACGGGTAGTCAGGAAACAGTTGCATTGCTGCATGCTATAAGAGCCTCAGCTTCTTCCATGAGAATCCATACTGTATTGTTGACTTCTTGCAGTCTTTCATAAAACAAATGCTTGCTGATGCATCCAACCCTTGTGGAATCCCAGTGGAAGACTGTTTAATGTTGCACTGCCACTGGCAATTTCCAGTGTTTTGATTGGCATGAACAGGTGGCAGATGTTAGACTTGCTATTATTGGAGGTCATCTTTAATGAAGCTTATCTGGTTAAATTATCAGTCCCCTGAAGACAGAAGCTAATAGCTCTTAACTCCCATCCCACTTAGCCCAAAATGACATAAATAGCAGAGCCCCTCAAACAACACTGGTTGATGCAGTCATGAAAAATACTTCCAAAACGCAAACTTAGAGTTTGTGAGGATACGTGTCCAAATGCAGTTTTGAGATCATTAGAATCTGTCCTTTGTAAATTCTCTCCTGTCCACATTATGGCTACAAGTGGATGGGCATTTGGCAATTCAGACGGAAGTACAGTAGTCCCTGAGCTGTCAAAGGACTCATGATATCACACATGACACACTTTCGTCTGTGAGAACCTCCTACGGCTACTCCATGGCCAGTTCTCATCTTACATACAATCCAAACAAACGAGTGAACCTTTAGCTCCCTTGCTAACACACCTTCAAAGCCACAGGTAGGGACAACAGAGAAGTGAGGGGAAGGATAGGGACCTGCCACATGTGGTGACCATAATCAAGAGATGAAAAGTTTGCCCTGACATTAGTTGGCAGGAATAAAACTGGAAAATAATCAATTGTACCTCCCCTAGGAAGTCCAGTGTGTTTCAAGTATTAGCTGGAGAGAAAAAAAACTTGCTGGAAGTTAAGAGATTTTTTGAGATATTTAAGTAAAATAATGCATGTGTAGTGTCATTAAAACAAGCAGAAAAAAAATGGTGAGTTTTTTTCCAAATTTTAATTTGGATTGTTAAATTTAATATAACAATATTAAAATTCAAGAGAAAAAGAGACCTATTAGTCATGGCAAAGACTGACTTCTCAGTTTGTGTGTGACGTTCCCCTGCCACTGTCCTATGTCATGTAGACATTTCTAGAAATAAGCAAGCTTAGAAACCTAAATCAGGATTGGGTCCTTTCTGATAGAAAATCTCACCATCCTCCATAGCTAGATGCCTGAGACCTACCGACTCACAGGGAAAGGCAGTAGGAACAGGCTTCATTCCTACTGTTTCCCACCACACATATCCTTCTGCTCCACTCCATTTGCATAGAGAGCCTGGAGAACTAGAAGAGGTAGAAAGGCCTTGCTGGGTTGGAGCCATTGTGATATGCTATCAAGAATGAGGGGAGCCAAATGTTAGTTCGTGAGCACAGTGTCCTCTTGGGACTCTAAAGACCATCTAATCCAGCTGGAACCCAAAACCCAACCAGGTAGATCCTCTAAGCAGGCTCTGCCAAAATAAGCAATCAAATAAATTTTAGGTCTCATGACAGCTGACAGAAAGAAGACATCCTTCATCCTCTACTGCAGTTCCAAATTGTTCTTCTTTCTATGCTTCAGGGATGCTCCCTCTGGATCTGTCTTTTAGCAAATGCCCCATTGATATCTCCTAAGTCACTCTAGGCATAGTGTACTGGATAACACTCTTCAGGGAGAAGGGGGCTTTTGCCATTGCAGGTATTAACCAGACCAAGAGATGCTCTCCCAGTAGTAATAACAAAAATTTCCGCTAGAGGGTAGACGTTGTCTATGGTTGGAAACCACCAATGTAGACTATCTCAGAGAGACACTGACCAAAACTGTCAGTGTTTTTCACTGACACCTGAAGTTCCCTGAGCCTTTGGCCAGGAGGCACCAGGCTCTCCCTTCCTCTCCACACTGGGCTTTCCCAGAATCAGCCCATACTTAGTTGGAAGGGGGAGATGAGCAAGATTGGGGAGCCTGTGCAGGTGATCAGTTCCTTTTTACAAGGGAAAAAAACAGGTTTGAGGATGTTATAAGTAATTAAAAATAAATGAACATGTCATTGAGGGGGAAAAGCACCAACTAAGAAAACACCACAAGCTTATGGATCTTGGCAAAGTTACATTTTGAGAAAGGACCCAAAAGAGAAAAGGGCTGGAGAAGAGCTGTATGTCCTCGTGGATGGCTGTGGTTTTAACTTGGAAGTGCTTAAATGATTCTGACACAATCTGCTCTTGTCTTTGTTGGGCTACTCAGAGTGCAAGAACCGATGGCTATGGAGAAGGGAGAACAGCAAGGACATGACTCGTTTGTATTCTTTTTACTCCACATTAACCCAGAAGGGATTTACACACATGAATGCTTCTAATAAACGGATGTCTTGATTATATTTCAAGATAGTAATTCTAAGCCAATGGAGAAAGAACAAGGCACATAATTCTATAATATTTTATTGTTAATAGCACAGAAAAGAAGTCATCATTGAACCTTTGGAAGAAAAAGCACATTATTTACAAAAAAAAAATGGGAAGAAATTGGATAAGGAAAGACTAAGAAACACTGCAGCAAATACTTTCTGTTGGTGGTGAATTAAAAATTAGGTTACAACATAACTGACTTACCAGAACTATTTTATAAATTATTTGTGTAGACTACATACTGCTATCTGAAATAGCTAGGTTTGTAAACTGAGAAAAATATATGCCAAAGATTTATGGATACCTGAATAGTTTTGCTTGTGTTTTCTGAAGGTTTGGGGTCCCTTCCCTCTTCCTACTGCCACATTAGACAAAAATGGAAGTTCTTTCAATGGCCACAAAACTCTTATCATCATGAGAATCCCTGTAAATTTTAAGTTGCTGATGCTGAAGATGCCAGGGACTTTGTGATCAGATTAGAAACCTTGCCAGCAACAACATCACCCAAATGACCACATGGGAGACCGAAGAAAAATGAAAGCCAGCTTTTATAAAAGCTGAGCTTTCTCTTAGGGCCTTCGTCTTCAGATAAAATAGGCCCAGAATTCTTTATCCAACACTCCAAGATCTAGAATCTTCTTCAAAGTGTTTCTATGAGCTGATAACATACTCTTTTTTTTTTCAGAAAAATTGATCACTTATGAACTGTATGTACTCATTTTCTGTGAATAGTCTATATATATGGAAAAATATTAAGAGATTGGTTAATAGGGTGGCATTCCAGATGCTATTTGTAGAGTTCCATGATATATAGTAGTAACAACATGTCGTCCTTCTGTAATCTCCAATTAAGATCTTGAAAAAAAAAACTGTTTCTTCAGGTTTAACATGAAGACTTCTGGCCCAACAGTAGTGTGACATGTACACAAGTTCACTTGAAAAAGGACCTTTGTGAGCCCTATGTTCTAATTGATTTTTAAGATTTGAAAGGAGTGAAGATCTCTAGAACATTATCTCAGTAAATGGAAACCCCTGAGAATAACGTTTCCCACATCGTCCCTATAGCAATTCCTCCCTTGAAGACTACATTTTTGTCCGTAGCTCCGGATGCTTTGACAAATGAAGAAAGTGATTCCCTTTCACAAGTATTTGACGTTTTCTTTAACAAAGGGAAACAAGAAGGAATTAGGGCGAAAAGCGTCTGTTAGTATGAAGGTTACATATGACAAATATGAACTGCTTCCTGATTCAGCAACGTTCACGATTTATTGTATAGAAAGTGATTGTCTGGATACAAAGTTTACAGAGCTCCCCAGCTACAGCCAAGTTACCTGAGACTTGACAAGGCCCTGCCAGCTAAGGGGAACAGAATTTGCCAAAGAAAATGATGTTTCGTGTTTTGTTGTGCCTAATGATATAAATAAAAGGGTGGTCAGCATTGAATTCATCCTTGTGCTGTAAGATCCGGGACCCCGGCACGTCAATGGACTCACCGCCATCTTCGGTTATTTCTAGGCATACTCTGTGAATCACATTTGATAGGGATACTCCCTTGGTCTCTGACATTCCAGAGAAATCCGATGTACTTTCATCGAAGAGATTTTTTAGCCCTAGGCTTTCCAGACTAGCCTTGGGGTCAATCATCTTTTCTATCTTAAACTTTGGGAGGGAGAGTTTGACTTTGGCACTGGCCATGGTGCTGGGGTTGGTCCACTGTAACAATGTTTCTGGGTTGAGTTGTTTTTCGATCTAAAGACAAAAAAAAGAAAAATAATTAATTTTATTTACTTCTAATTGTAAAAGCTTTTTTCACTAGCTTGATTAAGAACAGTAAGTGTTAAGTCTAGTTCTAAAGAATTTAAATCAACCTTGGTTTGAAGACAGCCCAGCATGGGGCTCCTCATGTAAGATCTACCACCCACCAAGATTTCTCTTCCCCACCCTACAGGAAGGCTCTCTTCTCAGTAACATATATGAGAGCATGATTTTTATTTGCTTAAATTTCAGAAACAGATTGTGATGTTACACACACAGCAGTGAAATGAATGCAAAGTTAGTAACTTTCCTGTAGATCTCCTGTTTGTTATAACTTCTCTCCAAAGGAGCTCATAGTATTCACGACCAAGGCACACCACCAAAGTTAATTAAAGTTAATTAATGGGAACTTAGACTAGTTCTGATTCAAAAGTGATGACCGCAACCATTTCAATGGGTTTAAAAGATAGGTATGCAGCGAAGCATAAAATAGCTTAGTCATAAAATTCTTCATGGAGCAAATGAAATTAAATTGCTCCTTGACCTTCACCCAGTTACCACCAAGAATGACAGTAGCTAACTGCTGCTACTAACATGAAACAATACTGCACCAGTGTTATTCTCCTGGAGCAAATAAAAGCCGAGGGTGTGCTAAGGTCATAAGCTAGCGCAAGTGCGTTTTCTAATGGGAAAAGAATATTTTATTCTTTTGTTAGTCTACAACAATTACTTTTTGATTAATATTCTCAGTTTTGCTTGGGACAAATTACTAGGACAAAAAAAAGCAAAATAACAAAAGCATTAGAGTTAACTAGCTTTGCAACTAGTGGATTTATTATTCTATTTACTGCTTAAGCATGGAATATAGGCCAAAGGCTCTTTTCCTCCCAGGCTCAAATCTTTGGTCTTCATGTGATCAACTGATCGATCATGTGGTGATCATGTGGCGATCTATATTTATTTAGTCTCTGTGACTTCCTTCCTCATCGGTAAACAAGAATATGGTAACAGTTTCTAATTTGTGTTATAAATGTTATAAAAACTAAGTTTATTTGGTCCATTGTACATGACAATATATGTTGGCTGTTTTTCACTTTAAAGAAGAAAAGACACAGAATAGACTTCAGACCCCTTAAAGATGACTGAGCTGAGATATGTGAGGTTGGCCCCTGTGAGCATCCACAGGATTCCATCTTTACTTCTTTACTATATTAGGCTTCTTTTGTCTAAGTGCCCAGCTGCCTCCTAACCTTCTCCAGGCCTGTGGACTCGTCCTCCACGTCCTTGGGGAGCACAATGAGCATACTGAGATGCTTATTCATGAAAGGAACTTCTATGATCTTACAGCTGATGTCATCAATGTTACCCAAGCAGAAGGTGGCCTCGAGATTCATCATTTGTACTGGTTTGGTGTCTGTCTGTTAGAAGAGAATGTTTTGAAAGGGTTAATTTTCAATTTATAAAAGAACACATGAATACATACATATATATATACATATATGCATATATACATATATACATATGTACAAGCATAGATATAGACCTAGATTATAAAAATACAAACACAGAAATACAGTTGGAAATGACAGTCAAGATAGGAATATGCAAAGTTCTGTTGTGGTTTTGGAGCATTACGGCCTAAGCACCAACATGAGAATCCACACAGTATGCATTCTTTAAACATCTTATGGCTTCCTTGAAAGTTATTTATGTACTTTACCATCCCATGTACTCTACATTATAGGAAATATATATACATACATATATATATATATACTATTTACATATACAATAAAAGAAAAATAAGACAATACGACTTCATATTTCATATGACAGACAGGCATCAATCAAAATACAGGGAATTATCTGAGTCTGGTAATCCCAGCACTCTGGAGATGAATGCAGAAGAAGTATGAATTGAAGGCAACCCTGAGGCACACAGTAAATTCAAAGCCAGTTTGAGCTACTTAGTAATACCGTATCCCAAAAACAACAACAACAAGCTAAGGATATAGCATTTGCCTATCATGTGAAAAGCTCTGGCTTCAATCTCTAAACACACACTCACACACGCACACGCACACGCACACACGATGGGGGAAGGAAGGAAAGGAGGAATAAAGGATATGGAGAGAGAAAATGTACAGTTATTTTCAAACTATGTTTCTAAATGTATATGAAACATAAACAAATTTCTTAGGTAGATTTGTGGTCAACTCCCAAGATAATTCATCAAATAAATGAAAATATTACAAAATCTGCGAGAAAATATATAAAACCAAAACTTCTTCTGGTCTCAAGTATTTAGAATAAAAGGTGCATAACTTAGGGATCTGTATGTCATTTTTCAGAATAGATTTTATGTTTTGTTAGGTTATATGAGGCTCTTACTATAATTTTCTCAGTGTAGCCCTGCCCTTAAAGGACACCAATGAACATTCAAACAGTTTAGTAGTGTCACTCAAAATATTGAGTGATTGGCAAATGCAGTTCAAAGGATACACACACACACAAAAAAAAAAAATAATAGAATGTATTCAAAGTGAGTGGTTGCCATGCAGCCCAGAAACAAGTGTAATTGCTCATTAGGTAGACACAGTAATATCACGATACCAAACCCCTATAATTCTGCTGAGGACCTAGGTTTCCAGGCTCTGTTGTTACCTGGAATTAATATTTAATGGCAAGAATAAAAGGGATGGCACACCTGCTCCCTCTCCTTTCAGAAACATTCTTTAGCATTTCGACAAATATAAAAGCTACAAATCATAACATAATCAAAGCCAAAGTCCAAGTTCTACCCACTGCCGTTACATGATGTGATCCTGGAGGATTTGTAAGAGACATCATTAGCCACATGCTTGAGATTTCACTTATACTCAGGGACCCTTTGGCAGCCCTTCCCAGAGAGGAACATCAACCACCAATCAAATCATCAATCAAATGTGCGGTGTCATCTTGACATGACTGACAATCAGGTGATCAATACCTCTGTAATAGCAGAGGCTGTAAAGTACATGCTGCCCCAGCCCTCAGTGAAAGAAGAATGTCCAGAGCCATGCTAAAGGCCTGCAGCTAGGCAGTGTCTGAGATGTCTAAAGTTTGTCAGCTGGTCCTGCCCCTTGAAGTCAGTTTAGTCCACTACAGTCAGAAAGCCCAGGGAAAGAGTGGAGGAAGGACTCTCTGCCCTCCCTTACCCAAAACCCTAGAGACTTCAAATCTATTAGGAGCAATAACAGGTTTTTTTTTTCCCTTCCTGAGAAACTATGCAGTCATGGACTGTTGTGTTTTCTCTGACACTGACATTTGGGCTAAGGACATAGCTCAGTTTGTCAAATACTTGGCAAACATTTAGAGCTCTGGTTTGAATGTCCAGCAATACATAAACCAAGTGTGGTGGGTCCTGCCTATGATCCCAGTGTTGGAGAGGTAGAAACAGGAGAGCCAGAAAGTCAAAGTAGTTTAGGGATATATTACAAGTTAGAAACTACCCAAGACTGTCCAAAAGAAGATTAAAGCCGATCTTTGGAAATTGATTGTTCACCCAAAAATATTCAGAGCACTTAGTTGTAAGACACTGTAGACGCTAGGGTGAAAAAGACAAGGTGTCTGGCCTTATAAAGTCCACGCACTAATGCTGTTACTAGGAAAGTAAATTTGTCTGAAGAAAAATTACATTTGGGATGAGTGTGGTATAAACGTGAATTCCATTGGGAAAAGGGGGAAATCATGGAAGCCGATCTAGCTAACTCAAACCAAGTTAGTATCTGAAAGGGATTTCCTTCTGGGTTCTAGCATTAAGAACCTGACACTAGATAGGTTATGAAGCAAGGAAAAAACCTACTACTATTATTCTGCTAAAGGAACACAGCAATAAAATGACTACTAATGACACACTGCCATATCCAAACATCAGAGCATCGCTCAACTGTCATCAGAGAACTTCCTTCTTGAAGTAGATGGCAATCAACAAAGAAGTCCACAACTGGACAATCTGGAGAGAGTGAAGGACTTCAGGGCACTTGGTCCTAAATGAGATGTCATTGTCTAACCCCTCCCCTCAAGACTCAGAGATCTATGCAGAAGAAGAAGAGGCAGAAAGACTGTAAAAGCCAAACGGAGTGAGTGGCTGTAAGGAAACAGCCTCTTCCAGACACAACAGGACAGATACACGCACTCATGAAGTTGCCGAGGCTGGGGCAGCAAGCATAAGACCTGGACATGTTCAAGCTAGACGGGTTCCCTTCCTGAGAAGGGGATGTCGACACAGAGCTCTACGCCTGACCAAAAAGCTATTTGCAACTGATGCCTGCTGGGAAAGGGCAAAGACATTTTCTCCAATGAAGTGTCACTAGGTGCATGTCAGCCACACTGCAAGGCAGGCTCACTCTCAGGAGTATGAGGCCAACACAGACTCCATGTGTTTCCTGTGTGTGCTCTTTGCTTGTTATTCGTCTTATTTTGCTTTTTATTTTGTTTATCCGTTCTGATTTTTTTGTTGTTGTTACCTGTGTGTCTGTTGTTTTTCTTGTTTGGTTGTGTTTTTTGACAGAGAGAGAACACCATGAGGTTGGGTGGGGATGGAGGGAGAGGCTCTGAGGGGTTTATGGAGGTAAAGAGATGATGGAAATACATTTATTTTTAGAAGATGATACTTGGTCAGGATCTGGGAAAAAAATACAACACTGAAAAAATGCCATTTCTCTTTTTCTACCACGTGGGGTTTGAGGACCCAACACAAGCCATGAGAGTTGGCAGTAAGTAAATAAAAAAAAGTGAGATCAAAGTGCAGTTACTGAGTCGGAAACATAAGTCCTAAGTGGCTGAGACTTCCTAATAATCCAGACACCTCCAGCTTGCTTTGCCTGCTTGCTTCCATTCCTTTATCCTCCTTCGATTTTTGCACTTCTTCATTTTCTACAGAGACTCACTTCTGTACCCTGCTCTACTGCCACGACTTTGACTCAACTTCCCGCTTCAGGCCGCGCATACCTTGTTGATTCTGAATGGACATTCTTTTGTTTCTGATTCCGGAAATTTCTTCATCCACTTTCCAACAAAGTAGGCAGCATTAACCATAAGGATTTTGGTCTGGTCACTTATACTGTTCTCTGACAAAATGTCCTCAAAGTGGCCTGCAAATGGTTACAGAAAACCACACGTAGTCGTTATTCACCTAAGTAGCCGGCTGATGCACGCTTGTTCACTCCAGCAGTGGATCCCTCCGTAACCAGCAGTGACTGCCACTCCTTCATAATTACTTTCTATTTCCGAACAGACTCCCCCGTGTACAAACACTGTAAACACATCTCTAGGAAAGAATATCTAGACACTGACTGCAACTCAAACCATCTTCACCCCAATTCTTTCCTAGCAGGGAAGACAATTAACTGGGACTTTTAATGGCGCGGTTGAGGGGTGAAATAAGTTCAGAGACGGGGCTGAGAGGGCTCCACAGGAAGCAGGGATGGACGCCGGAACTCCGCGTAGCCTGCGCAGTTGAGGAACTCAATATGATACTAGCTTTTGTTTTTTTCTACCTTTACATTTGCCTAAGGCCTTTTGTCCTCTTTCATTTTCGGTAACGTTGTAAGAATTTTTAGCTGGAAGTGGATTCAAGGATCATCTTTCCATCTCCAGACTTTAAAACCTGCCTTCATCATCTGCCAAAGCCCATAGAATAGAAGCGACAGCTGGGCCTCTCTCAGGGCACGCGGGCATGTGGCAGCTTGTCAGAGAGCAAGGCAAGGCCCATGGAGAACAATGCACCACAATAAATTGCCAAGTGATGAGCTGATACAAGAAATGCCCAGAAACTGGCTTGATGAGCAAAGAATTTAGCTTGTGTGCTAAAAATATCTAAGGAAGCTTCCAGATGTTCAATACTTCTAAGCTTAAAACAGGGATTCTTAAGCAGGGAGAGCATTAAATGGTACTCACCATCTGTGAGCTCCTTAATGGAGCTGTTAATTTGACCTTTCGTTTCTTCCAGTTTATCTTTGAAGTCAACAGTTTCCAATTCTTTTGCATATGGTCTTTTGGTAGAACTGATAAATTCCTGAAAAAAAAAATTCCAATTCACAAACTCAGGCAGCTCTTTGCAAATGTAAGTGGAGCTAATGCAGTACCACACTGTGCTAAGAAATGGTTTCCTTAAATGACTATTACTATACATACATTTTCAAAACTGGTCACACTATCTGAAGCATTGTATAGAAAGAAATAAGTATTTTCTTTGTGTTAGATGTTTTATTTCTTCAATTATAAGACATATCAATTACTAAATTATTAATTGGATCTCATCTTTGTGAAAAACAAAAGAAACACTATACTATTAAATATATATTTAAATATTAATCTCTCCATTATTTAAAAATATTCATTTTTACTAGTATATACATAATATAAATATATAGCTGTGGCTTCAATCTAAAACACGCCTCAGATGCTTAAGGTTTAAACACTTAGTTCTCAGCTCCTGGCACCATTTTGAGACTGTCTATAACCTTTGGAAAATAGGGCCTAATTAAAGGAAATAGATCACTGGGAGCCTTGAAGATACTATTATCTCTGGCCATTTCCTGTCATTCTCTCCTTCCAAGTCCTTTGTGCTGTGAACAGTGGTCTTCTGCTATTACATGCCTACTGATGTATCTGCCCAAGAAAATGGGAACAAATAGCTATAGATGGAACCCTGTGAAACTTGGGTGGTATTTTATTACAACAACAAGAAAAATAACAAACACTATACGTGTGTGTGTGTGTGTGTGTGTGTGTGTGTGTGTGTGTGTAAAACAGAAACTAAAACAATGAACAGAAAACCTTTATCATCACTAAAAATAAGTGAATATTCTTTAAGGTTCTGGCTCTCAAACAAGAGCCAAAGATCAGGAGTCAGGCATGACCTAAGCTCTTGTTCAAATGAACTCTTAGGCCTCTGGACTTACTGACATTACTGGGCATTTTAGCAAGGTTTCCAGGAGTTTCATCTGCACACTGAAATGTGAAACATAAGACTGTAAAGAACACAGTGTTGCGTCTGTGTCTAACTCATGTGTAAAATGCAAATCCTACCCTCACTGGTATTGACGCAAGAGATCTGAGGCCACAAAGTTGGGCTATCAACAAATACTTGAGTGGTTTAGAGTCAGGCACATTTGTTTGTACTATAACTTGTATGTTTGCAGGGACTACCTAGGAGGAGGAGCAAAGGAAAACAAAATGAGGAAGAGAAAGGAAGGGAATGGGAAGGGAGAAAGAGAAGAGGAGGGGAGGGAAGGGGGAGAGAGACAGAAGGGAAGGGAAGGGGAGAAGGAAAAAAAGAGAAGATGGAAAAGGAGGGGAGGGGAGAAAGGGGAAAAGAAGTAAAATAAGGGAAGGGTAGGAGAGGGGAGGGGAATGAGGAAAGGGAAAATGATGGGAAAAGAAAAACAGAAAGGCTTCAGCTCCTGGTTTGGTGAAATCATTCTAACTGTGGAGTGAAGTCCAAACAAGCTAACATAACGTGAATGCCACATCAGTCTGCCCTTGAATTCCTTTGCAGAAACAACAGTCTTAGCCAACTAACTTAGCTCCAGTACATCAAGCCCCAACCTTGGACTAACTGAGGCAGCCAGCACTACCTAAGAACACCAGAAAAACAGTGAGGTGAGGAGCCACCACTGTCATTGCCAATGACATAAGTCTTTAAGTATCACTCGGGGAGCTTTTAAAATGTTTCAATGCCCAGATGAAGTTCACATCTCAATTTTCTCTAATTTCCCAGGTGACAGCTGGAATAAAAATAGCTGTGCATATGTGTCCTTGAGCCATAAGAGTAAACTGACAACAATGACTAGTAACTTAATTCCCAGAGACCTTACACAAAAACAAATATTGAATGCAGAACATTGTCGTGCCGTAGTAGGACATGTGGCTTGGAGAACTAGAAGCTTGAAATTCTGACCGTGGAATTGGGAGCTGAGTCAGCCCTGCATTAGCAGAGATGGGAAGATCCTGTCATCAAGAATTCTGGTTATGTGTTTAAATAGAGATCTCAAACGCCGGATGCTACACTCTGGAGTCTAACAAGAGGCAACTGTAATGTTCTTCATATGACTGCTTCAAGAAAGGATTTGGGTTAAATGACTACAGCAGCTTTGTACAAATGTCCTTAACTAGCCTAGGGAAACAACAGCAATTCACGTGTGATGGAAACTGATCGTTTGTAGTGGTTATCTTCTTACTGATTCTGAAAGATATGTGGACCATGTTAAAAACTGAACTGGGGAATTTAAGACATCATCAGGCCATATGCGCCTTGTTTAAGGAGAGAGCGTATTGCAAATTGTCTTGAGCCCCATACGAAGGTCCCATCTACTAGACAGTTGGAGCGTCCATTATCCCTTTTCTCCACAGAACTGAGGAGGGGGAGTACTTGTCAATGCTTGCTGGGGAAAGGGGACACACTTCTCTGTATTCTGAGCACAAGTGACTGTTGTTTCAATACCTCCCCCCACTACATTCAACATCTGCAGTGGGCTGCTTCAGAGCTGTCACTCTAGAAAGGAAAGCTATCAGTCTAGCAGTGTAAAATGCCCCTTCTGGGAAGAGGTCCCGCACTACTGTTATAAACAACTTACTGTGGAAGGGTTCAGAGATTTGTCTATGTAGAGACGCTTGACTAGCTTGAAAGAGTAAAAAGAACTGAGCTTATTGATGTCAGAAGTGACTGTTTGAAACCCAAAGGGTACATCTTTGACATTCTCAAAATGAAGGACCTGTTAAGAGAAAAAAAAATCCATTATTAGAAAACAAACAAACAAAACAAAAACATTGTCCTGGAAGTTGAGGAGACACAATGCTTGCCCTGCAAGCATGAGGCCCTGAATTGGATCCCCAGATTCAAGCATCGATAGGTCCTCAGTAAAGGATGAGGCACAGAGATCAGCTCCCCATCAATCCAAGATTGGACTGCATAGATCTTATATGGGACTTGTGCAGGTGACCACAGCTGCTGGGAGTTTATGTGTGCCTAACCATGTCTAGTGCAGAGGCTTGCATCTCATGGCACTTCTCCCTACCCTCCATCACTTGCATTCTATCTAGCTTCTCTTTAGAATTTCCTGAGCCTTGGCATGGTGAGGGCAGAAGAGGTCAAGAGAGCTGTCCCATGTAGGGCCGAGCACTGGTCTCTTATTCTCAGTTGTTGATCAGTTACGCATCTCAGCAGGACTGCTGCCCACTGCAGAAAGAGGCTTCTCCAGTCAGAATTTAGAGTGCATGTAGCCACTGGTATATTCTCCACGCCTCAGAGGATGGCCTTACACATACAGTCACTACTAACTGGACTAAAGAGATTATAGGAAGAAAAAAGACATGAAGCTGGGAAAAGAACATGTTCGGGGGCGATGTGAAGGAAGTTAGAAAGGGGAAATAGGGAGGGATATGGTCATGTTTCATTGTACAAATATATTTAAGTTCTCAAGAAATAAGAAAAAAATAATATTTCAAAAAGACCAGATGTGATGGAAAAGACAAGCAGGTCACATGCAGGAAAATATCTTCCTTGTGGATGAGGCATGGACCCGAATTCACTCCCACAGTCCTTCCAGAAAAAGAGATGGAGCCTGGACAGTGGAAGCTGGGTTTCCACCATATGGAGATAAGAAGTTCAAACGGTACAACCCTCTCCCCAGGACTGAGACAGTCTCTTCTGCCTCCCCTAGTTTCTCATCCTGACCCAGTCAACACTGGATCAGTCATGATTTGAGGGATACTGGTGAAGCAGGTGACTCTATTTTAAATACTGATGAATTTGTGACAAGAAAGAGGTTTTATTTTTCTTTTGAACCTTACATCAGTCTGCATAAGGAAAATAGTAGAAAGGAATTGGAAAGTACCTACTCTCTAAGACTTCATCTCAAAACAGCAATCAAGGCACTCATCTCCTTTGAAGGTCCCAGAACTTCGAGACTAATCAAGCACCTCTCTAAAGAAACCCTGAAACATCTCTATACATATGTATGTGTTTGCATGGGAAACTTTACTCCATGCTTCTCAAATGAGATCTCAAGTGATTTGTTCTCCTCATCTATGCTAGTCTGAAGATAGATCACTGAAGATGTTACTGCTGAGACTGCATATACTCTAGGGTAGGATGCAACTGTGCCTTCATCTTAATATTAAGTTTGATGTTCTAAATAAATCGTGTTTGAGGAACAGTGCTTTTGTTCTCTGAATGTAGGGCAGGGGGCAGGGGACAGCTCTTCCCCATTTACTAGGAGTATGTGCAATGGAGTATTTAATAAGTCATTTTAATTGACCTTCAAATATGTCAGGTAAGGGATGTCATATGACTTGATGACAGCCACTGGTGAATGGAACACCTGTCAGGTCCGATGTTCTCCATCCCAATCTGGTACCTGTTCTAAATATAGGTTTTGCTACCCCTAAATGAGTGTTCACATTTAGAATAGATTAAAAGAGCCCTGGAAATGGTACAGTTTTCAGTCATGAATAGCTCCACTCACAGATTTTTTCTCTCTTAGGCCTTGACTATGAATTTCAGTAACTACCCCCATTCAAAATCAAAACAAGGCATGGGCAGCTTACCTGTCCAATCTCATTTGCCGTGTCACCTTTGGCGCCCACCTGAGCAAGGGACAGAGAAGTGGAGAGACATATTGGAGAGAAGAGAATGTTTCCTGCTGGCTCTCTTTCACATAGTTGTTTGAACAAGTCAACAGCAAAAGCCGAATTTGCCAGTCTCAGGGCATCCATCCTGGGCCTAGAACCAAGCACAAAACTTAATTCCCAATGCAAAATGTGTTCCCTGCTACATTCTGCCAACAATAGTAAGAATTCTACTTGAGCGAAGCAATGATTTTGGACAGGAGACAAAAAGAAACTTAGGGTGGATTCTAAAAGGCAGCCATGAAGAAACATCTGGGCAGATGTCTTGAGGCACATGGTGTCTCACTCTGCTCAGCCACTATGACCAGCATCAGGAGCCCAGTCATGTGTCACTTCCTTACGAAGTGACCAGAGCAAGCTATAGCATCAGTAACACTCAGTTCACTTTAAAAATCACATATTTCAATTACTATTTTGGTTAAATCATACAAAATAGTTATTTGTATATCAAAAAACTAATTGCAGCATCTCTGTGTGGTTCTATTTACTATTTAGGTCTATTTAACATTAAGTGTATAATTTTGTCCTCAAAAAAGATACACTGAATTCCTAATTCTTAACACCCATGAATGAATATAACATTGTTTGGAAGTAGGGGCTCTGCATTTTTAATTAGTTAAAATGGGGTTATTTGAAGTTAGGTAGGGACTAATCCAACGTGATGTGTCTTTCTAAAAAGAGGAAAGAAAATACAGAGACATGTACAAAAAGAAAAGAAAGATAACCCGTACACATACAAAGAGAGGAAACTGTTACATACCTTGGACAGGATGTGAACCCCAAGGTCAGAGAGACAGTTTTACTATTCAAGGTCAAAGGCTTCCTTAGCTGGGGCCCACAGGTGTGTTAGAGTCAAGTGCATGGACAGGATGACAATTTGCACCTTAGACCTTCACAGAAATGCCAAATGCAGGCAGGAGAATAAAGTCAAAATGGGGGTTCCTAATCTTCACATTGGAGTTCTCTGTAAAGGGCTGTATACAGAATAAACTCAAATAGATCACATTATTCTTCAGAATCCGAAAAGTGTGTTTATTAGCAAAAGAAAGACAAAGCTGAGTCCACTCGTGACCACCAGCCATGCTCCCTGACCTCCTACCCAGCTGGTGACCAGCAGCCATGCTCCCTGACCTCCTCCTCCATGGGTGACCAGCAGCCATGCTCCCTGACCTCATCCTCTATTGGTGACCAGCAGCCATGCTCCCTGACCTCCTCCTCCACAGGTGACCAGCAGCCACGCTCCCTGACCTCATCCTTCTGCTCATGCCCCAGATGAATATGCCCCTTAGGCTAGTGTGCCTATTGCAAATATATCACAAGATAACCAAAAGTTAGGCTGGGCATTTATACTTTCTTTAAGGTCAAGTCTTATTCCTTCTCTTCTACTGGATTGTGATAAGCGACAACACCATCACCCCAGCCTAGAGGCTGACTCAGGTTAAGTACATAGAAATCAGCAGAGTTGCCTGCTGTGGATGTCTGTGGAAGGTTCTGTGTTGTGGATTTGGTTTAATGCTTCGATATGGGTTCTCAGATTACATGGGAATTCACACATCTGCAAGACGCTCTGGGTTCCCGCCCCCAGCTGGCTCTAATTGGTAAATAAAGTTGCAAGTGGCCAATGGCTGGACAGGAAGACAGAGGCAGGACTTGAGATTCCCAGGAAGGGAAGCAGGAAAAAAAGGAAGGAGAATGTCCATGGCAGAGAAACAGAAAGATCTGGCCTGAGAAGCACAGGACAGAGACACTGCCATGCAAGAGTTGGGAATCACGGCCCTGAAGGGTTGTAGGCCTGGGTCCCGGGTGGCCAGAATGCAATATAGAATTTAGTAAGAAGTAATTCAGAAATATCGGAGGGGTGAGTGTGTTAGCCACAGGAAGGTTTGGAAGTACCTAGCCATTGTGCTGTTTAAGGCATATTAAATATAAGGCTGTGTGTGTGTGTCTGTGTGTGTGTATGTCTGTGTGTGTGTGTGTCTGTGTGTGTGTGTCTGTGTGTGTGTGTCTGTGTGTGTGTGTGTGTCTGTGTGTGCTTCATTAGAGAATCAAGACCATTGGGGCAGATAGCAAGGAAATGGGGTCGCAGCAGACAATGGGGAAATTTGTGCAAATTAAAACACTACCTCAACAGTTCTGAACCATCTGCTCACCACGAGGGAAGCTATGAGAGACTCTTCATTCCAGGCCCAAGAAATACACACAGGAGATATTCAAAACAAGAGCTCGGGCTTCCTGTAGCAGCGTTTGTAACACTGACAGTTCTTAGTTCACCACAAGCACAAGTCAGCATGAGTGTGAATTAGTATGAAGTGACTAGAGAAACCTAAACTCTGTTCCCTGCAAATTTGTCAATGCTACATCCAAGAAGCATGTCCAAGCCTAAGGAAATGTCCACTCTGCCGTGCATTAGGTTACAGCACGCACAGAAATACACTTAGCCTAAATGACTGTGCATAAAGATTCATTCAGCTTTCAGTAAGGCTAATTACAAAGTATCTCAGAGCTGCACTCCAACGTGAGGCTTGGATCCACATTTTGCTTGGAAACTATAAACTGATGCACATTTTACAGGTTCCTATCTGCCCCACCTTTCCTTCCACAGAGAACCTTCTGCATGGCAACTTCAGCACCTGAAGTTCAAACCTGTCTATCTTCCTGACAAGTGGCTCCTTTATCCAAAAATCATTCTTGACTATGGAGAAAGGTAGCAGCCCTTAATATCTGAGGCCCCTTCTATAGCACAATTGCCCGATAGAGCCCAGAAGTGACAAAGGTAAGGTCTGTATGTATGTGGAAAGTGTTGTGATGGTTAATCTTCACTGTGAACTTGTGTAATTTAGAATCACGATGGGAGCAGATCTCTGAGCATGCCTGTGAGGTAGTCTCAAGGTTAGATTAATTAAGGCAGAGGAACACCATAACTATGGGTGGCCCTGTGCTAGGAGCCAGGGTCTCAGAGAAATAAGGAAGGGGAAGCAAGCTGAGCACAACCGCCGCCGCCATCACACATTGTGCTGACTGTGGAGTCAGAGCTACCAGCCTCCCAGTCCCTGGTCCCTGTTGTTGTTCCTTCCCTGTCACAAGGGGCTGAATCTTCTCTCCAACTGAAAGACAAAGGAAACACTCCTTCCTTACATTGTTTGCCTCTGGCATTTTGTCACAACAACTAGACAAGTGGCAAGGAGTCCTGAGTTCAAACTCTAGCACCCACATGGTGGCTCACAACCATCTGTAATAGGATCTGATTCCATCTTCTGGTCTACATGAAAACAGAACACTCGGGCTGGAAAGATGAATCAGTGGTAAAGAGCACTGACTGCTCTTCCAGAGGTCCTGAGTTCAAGTCCCAGTAACCACATGGTGGCTCACAACCATCTGTGAGACAATGTATTCACATAAAAATAAATAAATCTAAAAGAGAAAGAAAGAAAGAAAGAAAGAAAGAAAGAAAGAAAGAAAGAAAGAAAGAAAACAGAACACTCATATACATTAAATAAATAAATAAGAAATCAACCAAAATGTCACATAGAAAATCATATCAGTGGCTCTGTGATGTGTTCCAACTAACCCGAAAGCAATGAGAAGCTGCTGTCATCCAAAGTAGCTTGAGAAAGACCTTGGATACAGCCAGCTGGCACTCCCCTGTGTGGTAAGACAAAGAATTTACAGCAAAGCTTCAACAGGCTGGCAACAATGCCTAAAACGGTGAGAAGTTCCTCCACCATTTTGCAGAAACAAATTCCATCTTAAAACTGTCAAATGCCACTTCAAAGATGAGTGGGCCCCACACAGCAGGTTTCCATGGCTGACAGCTTAGCTTCTAAAGTCAGCCACTTGCTTCCATCTTATCACCTGTTTGCAGGGTTGTCTTCTTTCATTTTCATGAGAATCCCAGAATCTTTTTTTTAAAGATATTATTCTAATTTACTTTAACCGAAAAACTGCACCATTCAAAACCACTTAGGAGTTTTAAAGTAACCTTTATCTTATTAGGAAGGAAGTCAATAACTCCTCAAGTAGGTAGGACAAAGTCAGTTTTCAAGAATCTGTAGTTCTTTGACTAAGGGATGACCCCACTAATTGTTTCCACAGTACTCACCCGGCTAGCCCGAAAATCGTAAGCACACAAGCAACACTAAGTAGACTCAGTAGGTTGTATTTATAAGTTTATGTGTTTAGAAATCTATGTGAAAATAACGTAAGAAAAAGAGGCTGTGGATTTGAGAGGTAGTAGGAAGATAGGAAGGGTTGGGCAGAGGAAAGGGAGGGAGGAATGATGTGATTACATTCTAATTATTTTTTTAATTATTAAGAAAAATGAGAATTAAAATTCAAGAGACATGCTCCTGCCACTCTTTGCTGAGGTATTGTATAATCAACTTTTAAAGTAGGACGAGATCCTGCAGCAGGATCTAGTCTGGCCCCACCTCTCATTTTGCAAATGAGTGAAATGGAAGATGTTGAGATTCTCCCAGGCCACCCACGCAGGAGTGAGAGTGGCAAAGCCAAGCCTAGAATTCATTTCTCCTGGCTCCCAGCCTGGCCTCCCCACACCTCTCCACCTTCTTTCTTCATAATTGGGCTTCGGCCGGCATTTGTTATTTCTGAAGGCTCTCAAGTTCCCAAACTCCTGTATCCTAAATGATCTCCTTCAAAGATACCAAGATACCCTCTGCGTTGGGGTGGGATATTGCTTTGTTTGGATTTTGCGATTGTTTGTTTAGTTGGTTGGTTTTAATGACACAGGACTTTCCCCTTAAGGTTTTCCTACTTGAAGGAGCACTGGTTCTCCTTTCTGCCTCTGGTGTTTCAATTCTTTCGCTCGTTCCATAACTCGTGAACACCTAACTCAAGTCAGGCAGAAGGAGGCATTAGGGATCCCAAGGCGGGGCTGGAGAGATGGCTCAGTAACTAAAAGCCCTGGCTGATCTTCCAGAGGAACCGCGTTTGACTCCCAACACCCACATGACGACTCACGACCATCTGCCTGAGAGGATCTAATGGCCTCTGTGGGTGCTGTTTGCATATGGTACACAGACATACATGCAGGCAAAACACCCATACATATAAAATAAACATAAATAGATCAAAACAACTGAAAAAAAAAAAACACAAGTTGCGCACATAGTAACTTCTGCCTCCAGCAAGCTATCAGCTAGTGGCCTAAGAGTGATACTAGAGTGTACTAGTTACCATGGGGACTCTCATCAACACAGCAACCCTAGAAGAAATCTCAGGGACACCTCCTGAGAAGCACTGACATCAAAGTGAGTCATATTGGAGGATAAGGTCTTAGTCAGACAAATGTGGGGGGCAGAGGGAGAATGCCCACAAATCTGTGGGTGTGAGGATAAGGTACAGAAAGTAGTAATGACTTAGGCTGATCTATCAATGTAGTGATTGTACATTCTTCACTAAGGTCCATGGCTTCTCTAGCTCTGGGAAGCTGGGTAGGTTTCCAGGACGAGATGTGACTTTCCTCCTCTTGAGTGGACCTCAGGTGCAGTTAGAGAGCTGCTGCTCACTAACAAGTAAGCACAACTGCACATTTTACACACCCTGCCATGCTGGTAACTGTCAACTGGCTAACAACTTCCCTCCCTTGGCAGCTCGCATAGTATTTTCCGGGAACATGGGAGTGACTGTAGAAGTTTGCTCTCGTTCTTCCTCCCAGCCCCATGCTCCCAGAAATAAGAAATAAATCAATATATATTTACAAATACCTTGGCCATATATCTGGAATTGTCTCTTATAGTATTATAACTAAAATAACCCATTTATTTTAATCTACGTTTTCCTATGTGGCTGATTACCTGTGCTCAGGTGCCATGTGTCCTTCTTGTCACATCTTCCCAGTGAATCTCCTGGTGCCTGGCTCTATCCCAAGTGGCTTAACTTCCATTAAGATAGGTAGATGATTCATTCATCAATAGATAGATAGATAGATAGATAGATAGATAGATAGATAGATGTGTACAAATGTGTATATATACACTTATGTATTGTATATAATCTTAAGTTAATGTAAAATAGTATAATTCCTCAACACATATTAAATAACTTTGTTGTTATTTGTCCCTTGTCCCTCTTTCTCCTTCTATATTAAGCCTCCTCTCTCCTCACCAACTGGAGGCCCCTCATCATTATCCCCCTCACCAAAAAAGTTTCTCTCTACTGCAAATTGTAGAATCCAAATTACAGGAAAACACAGAAACCCACAACTGGGCACAACGTAGAAACTGACAGATCATAAAAAGTCCAACCCCACGAACATCTACATCTCAGCTCCTGTACCTATGACTTGGGAAACATTTTGGAGAAAGGGGTAGAAAGTTTGTAAGATCCAGAATACCAGGAAGACCGTTGTGAAAGTGTCTTTCCTATAAATGTCCTCATAAGCAGGACCAGAACAGTGGCAATATCGATGGACACATTAACATGCAACTGGGAGCGTTTGGCGGGCTCAATACCTAGACCAAGAACTACTGACTGCTGGGAGAAGTCCTTTCTAAGGATGAGCCCCTTTATTCGCTGTCCAATGTAGAGTGGTCAGCTTTGAAATCATATACACAAAAACAACAAAACATGCTCAGCTGGCTCCATTTAAATATATTTGTAGGTACACAGAGAGGCATATATATGTTATGGGATCTCTACGTGATCTGTGTGTGTATCTGTGTCCTCTCTCTCTCTCTCTCTCTCTCTCTCTCTCTCTCTCTCTCTCTCCCTCCCTCCCTCCCTCCCTCCCTCCCTCCCCCTCCC